TTTGGTATTTTTAAACGCGCCATGAAATTATTAGACTATAGTCATCCTGTTATCGAATACTAGGTAGCATTTTGTTTTCAGCATATGGATTGTATGTTTTGTTAGATTTATAACCATGTATTTCATTTTTTGGCTCTACTGTAAATAGAATTTTTAAAATTTTAGTTTCCAGTTGTGTATGACAGTATATGAAAACAGAATTCATTTTCATGCACCGACTTTGTATCCTGTGAAGTTGTTAAACTCATTTATAAGTTCTAGGAGGCTTTTTTTTTTTTACAGGTTCCTATATATACAATTATGCTGACTGAATAAGGACAGTTTGTTACTTCTATTCCAGCCTGTGAGCCTTTTCTTTTCCTTGCCTGATTATACTGGTTAGGACTTCCAGTATGATGTTGAATGGGAGTCTTGAGAGTAAACATCCTTGCCTTCTTTCCATTCACAGCATTCAAGGTTTTGCCATTAAGTATAGGGTTGGCCTATAAAGTGTTCTCTCCTCTTTTCTCTGAAAGGATGGTGTTGGTGTGTTTCTTCTCTAAAATGTTTGCTAGAATTAAGCAATGAAACCATTGGGGCTGGAAATTTCTTTTTCCAAGTTTTAAACTAAACCAAAAATTCAATTTCTTTAAAAGGCAGGCTTTTAATAAAAAATTCCCATTAAACATTTTTTGAAAAACCAAACACCATTAGAAAGATTAATGCCCATTTAACACTTAAAATTCATTTCAATGTACTAGCTGTTGAGGGTAGTTTTAAAAGAAAGAGACAATGTGTCCTACCTTAAAACAATTATGGCACAATACTGGTGAAAAGTCATCTCAAATGGATCTTTGCAAATATGTGACAAAGAAAGAAATATGATGGAACAATGGTTAAGAGCATCCATGGATTTTGGCAAATGACAAACTTAGATTTATATTTGGTTCTGCCACACTGTAACCTTGGGCAATTAACTTGTTGAACTTTTTTTCCTTCTCATCTATAAAAAAGATATATATATATATATATATATATATATATATATATAATTGCTGAGTTATGTAAGGATTAAGTGACTTAATGCTTGTCAAGAGCTTCATACAAAGTAAATACCTAATAAGTAGTAGCTATCATTAGTGTGACTTTTCAGGAAAAATTACAACCATGTAGAGAAAAGTAGTATAGTGCTATAGATTGAAAGTAAGTACCTTTCATCATGCTAGAGAATTGTGAAACCAAACATTCTAAGAAAATTAAAGAGTTTATGTTTTCAATTTTATTATTCTGTAAAAGATTAGCATTGGGTAGTTTTAAATTCACAGAAAACCATATAGCTCTAGATTTATAATTTTTTTTTTGCAACTACATTCTAACTTTTTGGAATGTTCTCTTTATCAAATACTACCTTATAGTCTCTTATTAAATGAAAATTTGCTTGCTATTCTTTCCAAGTAAAATTTTTTAATGCACCATGCTCTCCCTCTATCTGCCCTGTCCAATGTCTTGATACCTTTCCTGCAGGACAAGTAGAATTGCCCAGTTTTTAAGATACACTATATTCTTTTCTTTTTTTGAGACCGAGTTTCGCTCCTGTCCCCCAAGCTAGAGTGCAGTAGCGCAATTTCGCCTCACTGGAACCTTTGCCTCCCGGGTTCAAGTTATTTTCCTGCCTCAGCCTATCACGTGGCTGGGATTACAGGCATATGCCAGCATGCCCTGCTATTTTTTTTTTTTTTTTTTTTTCAGTAGAGACAGGGTTTCACCATGTTGGCCGGGCTGGTCTGAAACTCCTGAACTCAGGTGATACACCCACCTCAGCCTCCGAAAGTGCTGGGATTACAGGCATGAAACACTGTGCCTGGCTAAAGATACACTGTATCAATTTATTGTCTTAATAAATGAGGTAAAAACAAGCAGACTGGTGCAAGTGGAATATCAAATTAGCTTAAATGAAAAGCAAGAAAGCAGACAATTTACTTTGGAGATGGCCTTTCTTCTATCAGTCATGACATTATTATGGTCTCAGCAAAACTGATTGTTTCTGTTTAATCAATGTTTCTCATCTTTTGCTAAGTTGGCTGCCTTATCTTTTCACGTATGCCTAGTCTTCAAAAACTTAGAGAATTAAACACTACTGGGGACAGTCAGGCATAAAGTGTGAGGTAGGCAATGCTGTAAGATATAGAAGGGAGAGAATAGTGTTACTGCAGGTAGAAGAAAGAACTTTTAGGAGAGGATGGAATTTCAAAGAGACTTTGAAGGTTGGGAAGCCTTTGGGGAGAACAAATAAAAGAAAGGTGGCAGTGAACGCTCTGGATCGCTGAAAGACGAACAAAAAGGCACACAGGTATGAATGAACTTAGTGTTTATGTTGCGTGGGGATAAAAGGTGGAGGGTGGTTTGGAAAAGCAAATGCGCTGGAACATGAGTGCCCACAAGTGTATATCTGAGGCAGAGGGACTGGGACGTTTGTCTTTTATAGACAAACTAAACTGTTAACAGAGGTGGTATAATTTAGTTATTTAGAGTATGGGCTCTGGAGCTAGGCTTGCCAAATTGTAATCCTGGCTTTGTAAAGGTGTCTCCTCCTCTTCCCCCCCACCCCCCACCCCCACCCCTTTCCCAGGAGGACAGAAGTTAATCACTGGAGACAACTCTGGACCCTTAGGAATCAATAATACATAACAAAGTTTATTACCTAGCTTTCATATTCCGCTAGTTCTCTCATATAGTCACCTTCCCAAATTTGCTATGCTAGAAACTCAAAGTCCTTTCCTTTATAGAATTTTTCTAAAAATGTACTGTTATTTTGTTAAGCTGCTATGTAAGAACAAGTTCTAACCACTACCCTTTTGAGTTACTCATTCTTAACTGTGCCATGAAGAGGTTAATAAATGTTTGCTTTTATTAATTTGTCTTTTGTCCATCTAATCTGCATGAACTAACTTAACTAACTAACTTAATGAACTAACTTAACATGGGTAGAGGGAAAATGATGTTTTTTCCTCCTCTACCAATGTCAGGAGTCAGATTATGGAATGTTTTGAAAACTAACAGAATTCTCAATCTCTTGACCGCCCACCTTAGCCTCCCAAAGTGCTGGGATTACAGGCATGAGCCACCATGCCTGGCCCGGAGCTTTTCTTTTTGGGCTGAAATTCAGCCCCACTTGCCCCGTTATGCAGGGAATGATCTCCACAACCTTGCTTGGTGGCCCTAGACCCGACCAAGCCATTGGTCATTGTAATCAACTCCTTAATGTTTTGCCACATCCTTGTCTCCCTCCAATCCATTTTCCATGTAACAGAGGGATTATTTTTAAATCACCAATGTGATTACTTCATCCCCCACTTTTAAAATTTTTCCATGCATTTCTGTTGCTGTTAGGATGAAATCACAACCCCCTAACATGGCCCGCAAGGTTCTGAATGATCTTGTTCCTAGCTCCCTCTTCATCCTGACTGGCACCATTCCCCTTAATCCTAACTTTTGGCCACACTGCCTTGTTTTGTTTCCTGAAACTTGCCAAGCTTCCCCCTACCCCAAAAGACTTTGCCTGGAAAGTTACTCATGACTTAGTTTGGCTAATGTCTACTATTCCTTCGGGTTTCAATTTAAATGCCACTTCTTCAGGGAAGCCATTCCTGAATCCATAATCCAAAGTAGATTCCCTCACAGCACTCTATTCTTTAATCATACTTAACAGATTTGTAATTGTATATTCACTACTGACTTGTTTAACATCTTTTTCCTACTCTATACTGTAAGGTCCAAAAGGGCAGGTATCATGCTTGACTTAGCCTGGTGCCTTTCATTTATCCAAGTTTCTTTTTTTTTTTTTTTTTGAGACGGAGTTTTGCTCTCATTACCCAGGCTGGAGTGCAATGGTGCGATCCCGGCTCACCACAACCTCCGCCTCCTGGGTTCAAGCAATTCTCCTGCCTCAGCCTCCTGAGTAGCTGGGACTACAGGCACGCGCCACTATGCCCAGCTAATTTTTTGTATTTTTAGTAGAGACGGGGTTTCACTATGTTGACCAGGATGGTCTTGATCTCTTGACCTCGTGATCCACTCACCTCAGCCTCCCAAAGTGCTGGGATTACAGGCTTGAGCCACCGCGCCTGGCCCATTTATCCAAGTTTCTATAAGTGTATAGTGTATAAGTGTTCTCTATGTTATCTATTATGTTGCTGGCAAAGCCCTTCTCTATGCCAGCTATTTAATAGATGATAGAGAAACTTTCAACCAATCAACAAGCAAAGCAAGCAGACAAGATGATTATGAATGCCATGGCACTATCATATCATAGCTCACTGCAGCCTCAAACTCCTGAATTCAAGTGATCCTCTCACCTCAGTCTCCTGAGTAGCTGCAACTACAGGTGCATGCCACTGTGCCTGGCTAATTTTTATTTTTTATAGAGACAGGGTCTTGCTATGTTGCCCAGTTTCATCTGGAACTCCTGGCCTCAAGCCATTTTCCTGCCTTGGCCTCCCAAAGTGCTGGACTACAGGTGCCAGCTTGTCTTGTTCATTGATGAACCCCAAGTATGTTGTTAGGATAAAGCTGACTGCTAAACATAACTGAAGAGTCTGCTTCATTCATGTAAAGTCCAAAATAGGTATTCCTAATGGGGTAGATGGTTCTTCTCCAAGAGTTCCAATTCAGGAACGAAGACTCCTAATTAGTGGTTCTGCCATCTTCAGCATGCAGCCATAGAAGGAAAAAGAGAGGCTGGGCATGGCCGCTTATGCCTGTAATCTCAGCACTTTGGGAGGCTGAGGCAGGAGGACTGCTTGAGGCCAGAAGTTCAACAGTAGTAAGTTGCTATCTCTACCAAAAAAAAAAAAGAAGGGAAAAAGTATGAAAGATTGCTTGTGGGAGTTTCTTCTCGTTTTTTTCTTTAACAATGGGTTAAGGCTGGATGGCTACACCTAACTTCAAGGGAGGTTGGTCAATGGACAATGCAATTCTATACTAAGAAAGAAGAGTAAATGGGTTTGGTGATCAGCTAGTACCTTCAACAATACCTGGCACAACATTCCATTATGAAGAAACAAAGATCAGTTAGAAATGGAGCAACACCTGTGAAAGAAGGGAAGAAAAAAATGTAATGGAACTTGTTCTACAAAAGTTTATTAATGTATACACAGAAATCAGTATTATATCTGATCTAAGAGTATAATGAATCCTTCATTTCCAGGATTCTAGAGGTGGTCTCTAAAATAAAATTAGTGAATTTATAGATTTGTTTCTCAGGACAATAAAGTTTAAAAAATTAATGTATTTTCCACTTTAATTTGTCACCTTCAAGTTTTCCATTTTATTTCCTCTGGGTTTTAGTCTTCCCATATCTGGTCACTTCACTAAGTTCACCAAGTCACTTAAGTTTCTCCTTCCTTAGGTTTGGATGGTTGCGTGAGGACAAGCTCATAGTTAAGGCAATCTAATAAAACAGAACAGTGACAGATGTATACTAAACATAAGGGAACCCATGTGGATGGAGCCACAGCAGTTTGGAACTTGGAGATGTGACCCTAGATCACCATATACATTGTTTGCATATATTTTTATGGTATTCTTTATAATTTTCTGCTCAGAAGGAAACTGTAGAAATTAAATACTGCAGAAATTTGAATTCTACATTCAGACTAGAGCAAACACATGGTCACGTGTGTTAATCTGTTTGTACTTAGCTTTCCCATTCTAAAACTGGTTTACTTGTCCTGGACTAAATCTTAGTATTAAGAGCACAGAAACACAGGGATCTAAGGGACCTTATTCACAAGCATTCACCTTAACTGAGTCAATTCAGAAGGGACCTAAAATCTATTTTTTATCCGCCGTTTATCGATTTATCCGCCTGAGAGAGAAAAACGTGAAACATTTTTGAACTCTTATCAATAGATTTTAGCTTACTTTTCCCAAAAGAGAATCCTCCCTGAGGTAGCTGGAGAGCACAGTCCTGGAGAGCAGTTCCGCACACAGGGGAAGGAAATTTTAGAGTCGAGCACTGCAGGCGGAGACCCAGTGCGGCTGAAAACTGGCGGTGCGGGTGTTCCCGTGATCCCTGGAAGGCAAAGGACTGCACTTCCATCAGAAAGTTAGAGACGCCGGTGCAGAGTAGCCAGGAGTCCTGTTCACTCGGCAGGAGCAGGGGTGCCGAGTGGGGGGGATCCTTGGTCCCGCAGCCCGGCAGCAGTCAACAGCCCGAAGTGCTGGGCGCGGCGCCACAGGACGCCCGTCACGCCGCACACCTCCCTGCAAGCGAACGCGGGAGGCCCCGCCGGGCCGCCGTAGCGCTGCGGCTCGGGCCGCTCCTCCCGCACCGCCCTCCGCCCCCAGCCTCCCGGCGCCGCGGCAGCTCTGGGCAGGCAGCGCCGCCGCCGCCGCCGCCGCCGCCGCTTCCTCCTCTGCAGCCGTTTGGCCGCTGCGTGACGCGTCGTTTCCTCCCAACATGGCGGCCAGGGCAGGTTGGCGGTGATGGAGGCCAGTCTGCGGCCGCGGAGGGTGCTAATCCCCATAGTAGCCAGGGCAGCCCTGCTCTCGCCGGGCCTCTGAGAGCCGCCACCACCTCGTCCCTCAGTCCCCGGCAGACAGCGGAGGCTGGGCTTACTCACCGCCGCCAGGGCCGGAGGGACGAGTGAGGGGCGGCCGGGACGCGACCTCCGGGCCAGGAGAAGCGGAGGCCCGACGGGCGCGGCCCTCGAGGTGCGGCTTCTCCGGGGCGGCGAGGACCTCGACGCCCCGCGGCTGGTCCCGATCACCCGCCCCTTCCTGATCCTGCCGCTGCCCTCCACGCCTCCACTCCCCCACCTCCACCCCTCTCCTTTCTCTCTTCTCTTCCTTCCTCTCCTCCTCCTCCCCTCCAGCCGCTGGGAGCCGCGGGTCGGACAAGCCGCCGCCTCCTTCTCCGCGTCCATGTATGAGGGGAAGAAGACGAAGAACATGTTCCTGACCCGGGCCCTGGAGAAGATTTTGGCCGACAAGGAAGTGAAGAAGGCGCATCACTCCCAGCTGCGCAAAGCTTGCGAGGTAGCATTAGGTGAGTGGAGAGGAGGCCCGGGGGGTGGGGTGCTGTGTGTGTGTGTGGCGGGGGTCGGAGGGCACGAGACGGGGACGCCCATGGGGGTTGGGGTCGCCCGGTGCTTGCCCGAGGCCCGCACCTCTGACCTCGGGGAGCCCTCACGGAGCCTGGCTGGAGTTGACAGGAACTCGGCTGGATGTGGGGCAGAGGCGGGGTAGAGGAAGAAGGGCAGTGAGCTGGGCTCGGGGAACGCGGGGCACCTGGGTTCGAGGGATGGACTTAATAAGAGTGAGTGGATTTTGTTGGTGGACCGTGAGGTACAGACTGGATACCACCCTTTGTGATGAAGCAGAAGATGAGCTCTTGTTTATTAGCTTGGAAATTGAGGTGGGGCCGATATGTCAAGATTGGGCGTGGGAAGGGTTCCGTATCACAATTAACAATAACTTTTTCGTTTGGCGAGGTACTTCGGGAAGATAGGCTGCTGAAGTTGTTTCCTTGTTGACAGTCTTGAGAAGGGGTTTGCAAGAGGTACAGCTCATTCTAACATCTCTCCGCCTCCGCCGCAGGAAAAACATAAGAGTAATTTTGTATTTGACTGGGCTGACCTGGAAGAACAAGACCAGTGGTTAAGGGGTGAGAGTGGGGGTGGCGGCATGAAAGCAGGGAAGCAAAGAACCTTTAGATAAAATGGCTTTAGGTGACACGGGAAGGGAGGGTTTGAAATGAGGAAAATGAAAAAGACAATGACACCCACTAGCCACATGTCTGGACAGTGGCGGCTGCCCTCAAGCTTGAATTGTGATTTATAGTTCAGATGGAAGAGATCTAGTGTAATGAAGCCCGCAGCAGGGAAAATCCGACAATACCTATGAGGTTAGGCAGATAAGGAATTGTTAAAGGGACAACATTGTTAGATCTATTGCATCCATCAAAGATGAAATCGTTTGAGAGACCAGAACATTTAACACAAAGATGAATTCCTAATGCTTACACTTTATAGCACTGGAAATACACTGGATCAAATTGGCAAGTAAAGGAAGCTTGTTAAATGGGCTTTGGAATAAAAAGCGTTCTTGAAAGGGGAAAAATCCATAATTACTTAAAGTATGAAGTTAAGGGGTCAAGACAACTTAAAATTGGCTTTTAATTATTAAAATAAATAGAAGGCTACTATTTAATTTGCGGTAATATACTGTCGGTTTTTTTCCCCCTACATCGTTGGTAATATGTAAAACATCGAAGAAATTTCATCTTAAAAAATTTGAATCTGTGTTATAATGGGCTTAAGTTTATTTTTTCGCCTTATTCATGGACCAGAAATTTCCATTTTGTTATTTTTGTAGCTGACAAAAGACTGTTCCTGGTTTATGAGAAGACAGTTGTATAGTGGCAAATACTGAATTCATATCTAGGTCCTGAAAGGAATAATTATTAAATTGGGGTGAGAATGGGGAGAAAGTGATTTTAGGATTTTTAAAAATAATTGTTATGTGTAGATTTATAAATTACTTGAAGATTTAAAGAACTTCAGAGAGATTCAAGTTAAAGTTATAAATTGTCGTTTGTTTTTTTGAGACAGGGGCTTGCTCTGTCACCCAGGCTGAAGTGCAGTGGCTGCCTCAAACTCCCAGGATCAGGCATTCGTTCTGCCTCAGCCTCCCAAGTAATTAGGACTGCAGGCACACCTGTGCACTGCCACCTCAAACTCCCAGGATCAGGCATTCCTTCTGCCACAGCCTCCCAAGTAATTAGGACTGCAGGCACACCACTACACCTGGCTAATTTTTTGTTGTTGTTGTTGTTCTCTCTATATTGCCCAGGCTGGTCTCCAAATCTGGGCTCAAGAGATCCTCCCACCTTGGCCTCCCAAAATGCTGGGTTTACAGGCGTGAGCTGCCTCTCCTGGCCTTAAGTTTTTTATAGTTCAGATTTTTCATGTTACAACATATTTTTAATATGTTAAATTGTAGGTATCAAACTGAAGAAATGGAGTGTGTTGTGTGTATGTATGTATTTTCCTTCTCCAAAATAGTAACATAAGTAAGCATATTTTAATGGAAAGCCTACTGGAATGAGAGTCTCAGATCCTAGGTTTAAATCCCAGTTCTGTTGTTACACTGTAGTATTAACCAAGTCCCTGGGCCTTGAGATCTCTGTAAAATTAGGGTATTGAACTTAATGATTGTATGGTCACCTCTCCTCTAATGTGCCATGAATGTGAATGCACTGTCCTGTTAACTCATGCATTGACTATTCCTACCACTCAGCAGCAGCATCTTTAGAGGGCCTATAGCACTCTAAATGGTCCTTGCCATTTCTGGAGGTAGGGATTACTTGATGTGTGTGCCAACTGTACCAGGGTTGTCTATTCCAAATTTTGCCAATTTTTACATTTTTGCCCCCTCTATATACTCAGTAGAAGCTTTTTATGAGGAATGTGACTATCTAGGCAGGGCCTAGGTGCCAGAGTACTTTATTTACTTGAGATGTATAAGGCATTTTCCCCCCACATTTCATAAAGTTACATTGAGTCCCCGGCAAAGCAAAATCTCAGTAATCTCATGGTAGCTAATTCCTGGTGAACTTTGTTCCCTTGCAGTTTATCTACATCACCACCCAAACATAAATTGATAGGGATAACTCATTTTGTCTTTGCAGAAAGTATGTCTTGCAGGAAGATGGTATCCCCAAATATGTATTGTCCTTGAAAACCGTTAGAGGCTTATCTTTTCCTCTACAATATTGAGACTGGGGCCAGGCCCACTTTGGTCTGAGTAATTTATGTACCCAGAAAGCAGGGTGGAAAAGCAAACTGGAAAGGCCTGATTTAGTCATCTCTTGTCTAAAGATTGTGAGTGGGTAAGTGTTGGATGGTGGACATACAGAGGTCATTTTGTAGGTGGTGTTATAACCCTTTTAAATACCCACCTGTCTATATTCATTCTTCCCCTAAATATTTATTGAGCATACAGTTGAAGAGAGATGGACAGTAAACAGGAAAATACATAGTATGTCAGACTTTTAATCTTTTTTGTTTGAAAATCATTGTATTGGGATGTGAGTAGATTTCAGAGTATTGCCATTCAAAATTAATTCAGCTACCTTTTAACATAATGACCAATTATAAATAGATTTTCTATAAACTGTACTCATGAAATTGCAGCTTGTCATGTATTCTTTAAACTTTTTTGCTAAAAAGTATAACTTTTATGAAACATCGTCTAGATTAGGGTAGATTTTACTTTATTAAAACAGAATCCATTCTCAAAGACACTGTATCAAGGAACTTTTATTTTCACAGAAAGAAAAATAAACCTTTAAAGGGATGCAGAGTTAATACAAAACATTTTTTCAAATTATCTTATGTCAGACTTTATTTTGAAGTAAAGAATGGTTTAAAAAGAAAGTGTCACCCCCCCCCCCCCCCCCCCACACACACACACACACACTGTTACAACTGATGTGAAGCCCACAGGCCCAAGAACAGCTCCAGGTTGCCCTCTTTTGGTACTTGCCCTACTACAGCTCTGCAGAGAGAGGGAGTCTAGCCTGATCCATTCCTGCTCTTGAGAATCCTGACTTAAAAATAGTCTGGCCATCTGCTGGCAGATGAGACAACAGCTGAGCTATTTTTGGTTTAAAAGAATTTAGGATTGTTGTGGGATTGGGCTTGAAGGTAGCATTGTTTGTCTGTTAGGGAGGGTGAAGTTGGGACATATTCCAGTAAGGCCTCTAAGGTTTAGGAGTTTCTTTTATGTTAGTGTTGTGACTGGTTCAACTTATGCTTTCTGACATCGAATATCTATGAAGATACTCTGCAAATGTTAGGATGAAAGAGTTGAAGGTTGGAAACTGGCACTGATATAAAATAAGAGTGAAAGAGGTGAAGAGGTGACCAGAAGAAAGTTTTAAAGGGAAGGGAGGCATATACTGGCAGTGGTTAAGGGTGGTTTTCCAGGAGGAATATGGGAAAATAATGGAGATAAAATTGTTAGGGAAGTAATTTTTGCATCAGACAGGGTATAAATTTATATTATTCATCATATTATAAAGTGATCCTGCTGACTTAGTTTTTTTATATAGGAGTCTATTACCTATAATTATAGTTTCATCCAGAAATATAGTATTGAGACTCAAACTTTTCAGAACTTGCTTCCTTCTGCCCTTTTATTTTGGTTGGTGGTGTTATGAAAAGGGATATGTGGGTGGAGGGGAAATTACTTGAATGCTTTGGGCCCTGGTTTTATGCTGCTTTTGGTAACTTAATTTTCATCACTTTTCACCATTTGTGAAAAAATGATTTATCCCCAAACAATATCCTGCCATCAGTGAACACCGTAATTATAATTTAAATCCATTAACAAATCTTTGTTTAAACTTTCTTTGATATCTAAAGTGAAAGATATTTTCAATAAGCCAGGCTACCTGAATTTTTGAGATGGGTAGAAGAAAACAGTGTAATTAGTGACATAACTGAAAGATTGATCCTATTTGCATTTGTTCTTTTCTTTCACATTTCAGATTTGTTTTTAGGACACTTGCTCCAGGATAGTGTTGAATAAAATAAATGTTGTAGAGTACAAGTTCTTAGAGAAGCTCTTTGAAGAAAGTAAGTTTGGGTTAAAAAAAAAAAAAAGTTTGGATCACAGTGTATATTTCCATCTTGGAAATTTATAATGCACATGAACATAGTTAAGATTCTGAAAAGTCCTCCAAGAAAGACACCTGCTCAATTTTGTCTAATGAAGTTTTTTCTGAATTTATGTGATCCTCTTTCATTGGCTATTAACTCAGTTAACTCCCCTAGGACACATTGTTCCTTGGAACTTACTTTCGGACACTGGGGAAAGAAAGGCAGGTACAGTAACCCTAACTATTGGTGAGACCATCTTC